AGCATACCTCGTGTTGTTCGCCTCTACTCACTCAAACTACTGGTCATTGAGATGTGTCAAATTCACTCAGCAAAGATGTTAAATGTGAGTAATTAGAAAAATCCAATAGTAGGGAATTCATTATTCAGGTCTAAATGGACAATCAGTAGGATGACCAATTAATCCAAAGAAGTGGCTAACTGTCAAATTTCGTCCTGATTAAATTTCACGTATATTCCCGATTTGCCCATTATATCCGTGGAGAAGTCTTTATAAACTCCGAACTGATTTCGACATTCTTTTGGCCGTTTTGACTCGTCCACCGCAATCGCAAAAGCTGGTCTAGCATCCGGAAGTGACTTCAACATAGATTCCTGTTTCTCTAAGGGAATAATAAGAATACATCTTTAAAGTACGTGCAGATTTATCAAGATATCTTCTCTTGGCAGCGAATGCATTAAGTCAATTTCATGGAGGAAAGCCATTTATAGAGAAACAACGCTTTTTCCGAAAAACATTTGTATTTCAATACAATACTTCTTCTCTGTCCACATCCTAGCACGATTAACGAGAGGCAGGAAGCATTTTGATGGACATTGGGTCATATTTGCCTTATTTGGGAAACAAAATCCTCAGGTGTAGTTGTTAGGGCTGTGCAGCTCCATACCCGTTATTATGGTGGTAAGTCTCAGCCATGCTGAGATTACTCTGAACCAGTAGGTCCAAATATGACAAATATGAAGCAATTAGTTGACAAGAAAGTGCATCGCAAGTTAAAATAAGTAACTTTTACATGTATTCGCAAAAAGTCACAGCATTTTGTACAATAAATTTCCAAAGAACTGATATTACCGCATAAATCCTCGAAGGAAAGCTTGTTATCGCCACCATATGAATCGGACATTAAGTCTTTCAATCCGGGAACTGCATCGAAAGCGGGGCTAAAATCGGAGCCCAGAACCAAAATCTGCAAAGGTTGGAGTCAATGAATGGGTTGATTACCCTTGGCGACTCAAGTAAGCAAGGAACTCACTCGTGACTTGATTTTCTCATTCAACCACTCAGAGTACAGATTAAACATTGCTTCAAAGACTTTTGGGGTATTGTAGTATATCAATTTTTTTATTCGGAAGGGAAGACATTCCTGAAAAAGAATGCTGGAATCAGGTACCATAAAGGAGATTCAATTGATATAAATTGCTATAACTTGGGCACCTTGTGCTAAATCCACCCTTGTTATTAAATTATTCCTGGAATGTGCTTTGAAGGAGTCCGATGCATCAGATTGAGAATCTGCAATCGACGTCTCATTTGGGAGTTAGGTGATGTTATGATGATACATGATATGTTAACCACATTTTGCGAATTGGGTAATTTTTCAATGAAAATTAAAGCAGAATGGGTTGAAATGCGTACCTGGAAATATTTTGTTGCAACCTTCGACATCTTTGGCTCAAACATTCTCATAACATCCTCCTTTCGAAAATTCGTGAAATCCATAATCATGCAGATGCCACCAATTTGCGCTCTGGGATCAGCTAGGCATATATCGTTCCATATGTGCGATGGACCCTGCAGATCTGCTATCGACAGTTCATTTAGATTGATGTTGGCTACAAGCAATTGAAGGAAAAGACCACTTTGGCTGCATTTACGTCATTTAGCGTTATGCTAAGAAAGGTGAATGCGTATGATTTGGATGGCAAAAAACTTACTAGATTTCACCAAAATGACCAGAGACCCCTCTTGAGTGAATCCTAGAGGTGCCCAGCACCTACGGAATGCGGATTGAAATCATCAAGACATGCTCACTTTACTGCATCTGTGCTTTAAATTCCTTCAAGCATTTCCCTTTTCCATGATTTCTCAAAAAGCGCATACACACTTTGTCAAGCTTGACTCCTCTGTTTGAAAGTGCAAATATATTTTAGGAAATGTGCCTATTCCGCTACTGCTATCTCAATACTGAAAAACGCCAAATTGAGGGTGGAAAAGAGAGCTCTACAGTTTGCAAGTTTAAGGGTAAAAATATTACCACGTATTCTTCTTTACCCAACTGGATTCTTGGCAGTTAAATTGAATTATTGAAAGGTGTATTGTGCAAATAAAATAAATTTACTTCATGTCAATCCATTTATTCCAGTTTTCTCTATTGGTTGCCGTGTCCTCGAACCACGAAGGATTTCCTTCAGTGGGTGACGTTCGGAAGGTACAAAATTTGTCCAGACGGCGCTGCGCTTTCATGTGGTTGTACTTTGCTTGACGCAAAAATGCCAACAAAAATGTGTCATCTGCAAAATGGTAATCGAAGGCTTTATCCTCTTCAACTCAAGTTAGGTGGGCACAAAAACTGTTTAGTAAAGCGACTAACTAACCCGTGGTGCACTTCAAGTGGGGCATGGAGGTAAGCCATCGTCGAAACGATTCCAGATGTGCTGAAACTTGATCAGAAATCTCTCCCAATTCTTTTGCAGCCTTCTTTTTGTATACGGAGGGTAAAGCCTTGGTTGCATCGTAGGGCGTATACGGCACTGGTGCTGCCTTTGGCATCTTTCAGGAGTGATTGAGCTGCAGAAGATATTCACAATTAATAGTTGCGCAGATGACTGTGTTGCTAGCCTACTCACCGCACTTAAATGCGTCAAAGCTTGTCAGAATAACCTCGTCACACCCTGTGGCGCCTCTCTGTGGTGCAGCATGCTATGAAACTCACAATCAGCGTCAATGCATTTGGGTAACTCTTATTAGCTCCATTATGACTGGCATTTCTAGATTGTGATAATGCAATTTAGTCTTCATTTCTTTGCAAAAAACTTGTAGGCGCAAACGCAATTCTCGCCAAGTCGGCGAAAGTTACGCATTTAATTAGTTTTGCAAACAAAGTATAGCACGACTGAAACCTTGAAGACAGGTATTTGAGAGCCTCCCCAACCTCCCACTTACATAAAACGGTGGAAATCGAAATCTTTTGCTTTTCACTTTGCAATTAATTGAAGTAGCTTAATTTCAAGTTTTGTGGGTTGCAGCTTCAAGAGTTAAAGGAATCATTTAGCACAATTCTTTTCTACCTCATAGGGCCTACAGAAGACTTGTGTACAGGGCATTGACGCCTGCGTCACAAATTCACTTGTCTCACAAGGGTGCCAGAATGCCACTTTAGGCAGCTTTTGGAATTTCATTTGGAAGAAACTTTTTGCTTGTATGTAATCCGAGAGGACTTTTTGAGCACCCTTCCATCCATCCTAAATCGGTAAGCGTCGATTGTTCACTTCATTGGGTTCCTTTTGTACCCACCGGTTGGCCAATTCGGCCACTACACGACGGACAGAGGCGTAAGCTGCATCTGATGCGGAGTGAAAAGTTGTCAAATTAAGCTTTATTTTATTAAATTTTACATTATTCCGAGTGAATATTATTTCTGTGGTTGAAAATGCCACTTATTTTTTCCATTTATGAATTTATCGAGTTTAGTAATCAACTATGGGCTCGGCATTCAAAGATTCTTCATTGTGAATGAAACACAATCTTATCTAGTAGCATTATGCAAAAAGCTGATATTTGTTGTTGTCTTTCATTTCGTGAACATTATCGACAGTCATAACTTGCAACTCCACCAATATGGACTTCCGGACCATATTCAGAAGATTATTCACATACCTAACTCTTTAGAAATTGCTTTAGTAATAGAGCATCAAATTTATATCACTTCATAACACGCGCAACAAAGCAAATTGCTTACTTATAACGCGGTCGTGAGAAGAAAGCTTTAGGAATACAAATTGTAGTTAAAAAAACCGTCCGAGGACCGAGCACTTCCTCAAAGACAAAAAAGTGGGAGCAGAACAAAACTGTGAAAGCGTGAAGCAAGTCTTGTTATGCATAGTTTGATGGCCGCAATCGCAGCGAAAACCGCTCATCTTAACGGTTCTGCTGGTGTCAGCTTTTTCCTTTCTCGGCTTCCCCTCAATAAGTCAAGGCGCTTACTTTTGGATGCCAGTTTATCGGTAAAAATATACGCTTCCTGCAATCGAGTTGAAGAACGTGATGCACACCGCAACCACTACCTTTCGGCAAACTTGGCGGGTTAAAAATGTCCTGCAGGTCCGCCGATAAAGATACTTTCCTTCGAACTCACCTCATCACAAATGTTTACAAAACTAGCTGATTAAGTGAGGAATACGCCAAATAGCTCAACCGAGAGGGGTATACAAGGCCCTGGTTGAGAAAATCGCCTCCAGCCTGTTCCAGTGTCGGTAATTTTACCGAGATGTTAGTCACTTGGCGGTGGAGATCCTCGATCTATTCACTTAGACTATTGTGGAAGGATGCGGGGTGAAAATGTTCTGTCAGGCCGCTCCACTTAGTCAGCGGAAGCAGAGGATACTTTGCTGAAAAAATTACCTGCAAATGAAGCAAATTAAGTAGAAGACTACCACACTCGCAATTTTGAAGGAAATTAGGGGTCAGTGTGTCGTCAAGCTCTCAAAGATGAGCCAGCATTCCGTTGATAATATCAACCTACCTCGTAAGGATACGACTAATAGATGGAAGAAGGCGTTTTTTCGGTCCTGGGGGCCTCATTCGATGGGAGCATTTAAATGCGAAAGCGTTGATCACAGGCGTGTAATATCTAACTTTTTTAACACAGTCGACTTGCAGACCTCCCTGTGGTCACGATCAGAGGCTAGGTCAGACAGGTGGGAAAGTAGACAGAAAATGATGTTACCGCACAGCGGATCCCTGGACAACAGACAAGGTAGCCAATGCAGAAAATGACAAAATTTGGAGTGCAATCTCTTATGCTCAAAAGCCTGGGTCTTAAGCCAAGACATATAAGTTACCAGCATACATTTTGACGGTATTTTAGGACAATACAAAAGGTGTGACTTCTCGAAAGGTGGTATGTATTTTCAACCGAATGTTATCACTAAAAGACTCGGATTTCGACACCACTTCAAAGCAAAGCCTATTACCCTTGGATGCCGCGTTTTGAAGTGGCATTGAGGAAACAGCACAGGGAAGAAATGACAACAGTAGTATTTAGGTTCAGGCAATTGGAGAGAGCTCGATTAAGTAAATTAAGGCTCAAATATTCCATTCTTCCCACTCACACCACCTTAAACAGCTAAAGGAAGTTCTCTGAGGCTTGAGATGGCACTGACTGCCGGTCCCATGTCATTAAGGAATGACTATATCTAAAGAAAAAGTCATATTTTCTACAAACGTCGCCCATGTCCAGGATCAATTTAAAGGAGTTCTTGAACCACTTGTGCAGCGAAACTACTTTAAATCGACAAATTTATGCAGGAAACTGGCTTCATGATAAATTAGCTTGGCAATGCATCCTTATTTCACCTAATGAGACATTCTAATGTTTAAGGTGAGGCTACTTTATTTGTTTTGATCAAAGTGGATGACAATAGATTAAAATTTTGTACTTTGCTTTAATTTCGACACTTTTGTACTCAAAGTTTGGGCAGTAAATACACCCTTTCAAAACAATTCCATGTGAACCGATTTTTGGGGCTTAATTCCATCGTCGGCTTTGTCTCTCTTAACAAACACTAATGCTGTTCCATTGATGTGTTTTTGCACTAGGTTAATTTTTTTGTTAAACCCTTAATTTTTATAAAGCGGCCTCTTAGGTGCACCACCATTGTACCTCCGTCGTGTAGGCTGGCCTCTTGGCAATACCAGTAGCCCAAAACTCTACTGTATTAAAGTAAATATATTCTGCCCGAACATTGCGTCTTCTTTAGTTCCTAAGAAAGCCTAGTGGAGCTACATTGGTGGCAGTGAAAAGCAAACCCTACCTTAAAGGACATCTGTCCTGATTTCTATTGCTGAGTGATAAACCTTGAGGGGTGGAAGGAGTAAATATGCTGCGGATGGGAGAATCAGCAACATCTCCTAATAGAAGGGCTAAAAATGTCATCTTCCTTCGACCACTACCCTAGTCCCGTGTTCTGTAGGGAGACCTGTTAACACCTTAAGCGAGACTAATCGTAGCTGTAGATCATCTGCAGAGAATCGTTACGGAGCAGTCTACCGTACCTGCATGCAAATGTCAAATAAGCCAGTACACGATGTCTCCTCCTCCATCTATCTACTAACCCATGGAATGTAGAGGATAGATGTGGCTCATAAGCACTGAGGTGAGTGCAATGTAGAGGAAGGAAAAAAAACAAGAAACCCCTTCCCCTTGGAACTGTTTTAAAATCCACCCTTTGCTATTTAACTCTGCTTTTAGGCCAGTGCTCCTACAACTAGCAATGGATACGATTGATAGCCAGCACATTTCCCCTCCCCTTCCCCGAATCCAGTGCCCATACATGGCAAAAATATAAATACAGTGGAATTGCTAAGAGGGGTCATTGACATTGCTGTCAAGTACCTTCTCAGTTGCATGGAACTAGAATGACTGTCGCGGTTGATTCGTGGGTGTTTTGTGGTGGCTGAGGCAGGAGGTTGGCCAAGAGTAGCAGGAGGCGGATCTATGCATTACGCCTGTGTTTGTTTAACTCCTGAATTTGCTAAGGGAACAATTTGGTGCTTCATCAAATCACCTTAGCCATGCGGGCTGGCCTTCGCGCCATGTTAGTAGCACCAAGACCTACTGCATTTCGAGTATACGTATTCTGCCAGAGCAATATGTCTTTTATCATCTTCAGGAAGGCCTGGGGGCACTATAGATCTATCTATTACTACGTAGTACCTCTTCATCGATGGGGATAAGTAGTGGCAAATTTGAATGAGATCATACCAGTGCCCATTGTACTGGTATGCCTATTTGCCATTCGGAAGAAATATCATCGGTCACAATATCAAGTGAGCTTTTGAATCTTCCCAACTATGCGTTTTAAGAGTACACAGACTTGACCGAGCACTGGAGAGCAGGAAACGTGTCCCATAAGCCCAAATTTAAGAGTTGGTATTCACTTACTTCGTTTGTGAGTATTTCAACAAAAAAATTTGCATCTCGAAACATGGTAACATACTTTCGATGTCTTAAGAGATACGAATTGGTACTACGATAGCATCCCAGGGAGGTCTAGGCCAGTCTGCTGCGGCTGAGACTGCGGCACCCAGCATGGCCGTGGCGGATAGCGTCACTGCTGCTGCAGGTCTGGGAAACTTGTGTGTGAGTGGGAGACAGCTTCCCTCCTCCCCATCATTGTAAAACTTTATATCTCTTTTTAATTCTCCGAGATCTCTGACTCTTCCTTCTACCAAGTGCAATCTTCTTCTGATTTTTCTCTACCCAAGACCGTGAGTCATGATAAAGGAATTTATTTACTCACAACTCCCACCCTCTTACTAGGGACCTACCTTGTAATCCTGCCATCAGCTGTCAAGGACTGTGGTTTCACGGGCTATTAAGGCACTCCGTTGATAGAAAAAGCTTCGTTTGGAATTGTAATAAGTGTTTCACTAAAACGAAAACGGTGAAAGTTAATTGATTGCAAGAAGATTGTTGACACGCGCCATTTCTTAAAGTAGTCACCATTACAAGTCCCAATCCTTTCTTAAGGAGGCAAAAATTTGATGCCAGTTACACTTCTTTTACTTATTCGATCTTCAGAGGCCATAGAGACCTGCAAAACTGGTTACCCACGTTTTATTCCTATCTCCGAATCGGTGATTTCGTTTCGTGTAATGGCAGGCTAAGGTGGCGACCACTTAGTGATACATCATTATGGGAATACAGAGAGTAAAGCAGTATCTCCAAGCCTTTATTCTAAGCCGCTACTTCTGACTGTTTCTGGAAAGGTTTTTCTTGCACAAGTTAGGCTTTTATGGTGTCAAACAGATGGCTCTAATCGTACTTGAATATCAGCACTCACTACACAAGGGATGCGCAGGCTTTGGGGTTTGAGGCAGTGCCTTAGAAGCATGATCTGTGTATCAGATGAATTAAAGAGAGTACAAAGGTCACTTTCAACCACGAGTTGCCTCATTGGTGCATTCATATGACTTGAAAGAAGTAGTGGAAATTAGGTCGTTTGCAGTGCATGCTGTTGTCTGTGAATGTGCGGCATGTGGCACCCATCTACTTTGCAGTTCTCATGGCTTTCTCTAAGTGACATCGTTGTTGATGAGTTGTTCCACCATCGCTTCATTTAAACACTGTTGAAATCCGCTATTGACACATTTAGTCCAAGTTATTTGAGCATTAACGACACAACACTTCGTCCCGAAGATTGGAGCCGTCTCTGAGCGTGATGAATGCATCTTCCTGTTACTCATCGTCGGAATTGCATTCAACCGCCACGTCTTCTTCAAATGCTCCACAAAAATGACGATAAGTTTTTGTTTCTTGCCAGGAAAACTAGGAGTACATCCACTAGACTTACGTGAATGGGTGTTAAGTAATGAAATACTACAAGAGCGAAAGGAAGTACTTTGACGGAAGCTAAATAAATTCAAAGAAATCGGCGGAATTTTTACAAATAACTACATTACCTAATAGGACCCCAAAACATTGTCATTCGTTATTCCCTTTTAAGGTCCGGCGGCGCGACATCTTAGCGACTGAAATACGCCAATGTTTGACTACCAATCCGTTTGAGCATAGGGCAAAGTTAGGAACTTGAGCGTGTAGTAAAAGGTCGTGTTTTACTTAGCTGCTCTATTCAAGTAGTGGAAGTGAGATCGGAAATGGGGTTCTCATACAGGAATTGACCATAGAGCAAACCCGCGATTCCGTTTGTGGCGCTCTAGATTTCGAACGGAACTGCATCAACAAACTGTTTACAAGGGGAAAGTACCGCCGATTATCGATGACCATGATGATGGTGCATTTGTTTATTTGGGTTATTTTACAGGTAAAGCATAAACACTTGGCGCATGAGATTAATTAAAATGCGATTTCGTGAGTGTCCTGTATGAGCACGCGTTGGGCGGAATCAATAGCATGGTAGTTTAAATGCAAATTTTATCCTCGCTATTCACAAATATTATAGTAGACTTTATTTTCTATTTTTGGGCTTACAAAGGTTTGAGTTTGCCTAACGAGGACGACAGATTAACAGTTTCATGGGACAGATGGCGTGCAGTGCAGACGTACAGTATGGTTGGAAACTTTGTACGGTTTATTCAGGTTAAAGAATTTATTGTAAACGACAACCTGAATAGCACCAATACTGACGATATTTTCAGTACGAACTACATGTTAAGGAGTTTCAGATTATTAATCATTTTTGAGGTTCCATTTTGATAGATATGGAAGACAGGCAAATTCTTGAGTTAAGTGTAGTACGTTGGGTGTTTAATCAACCCTCAATTTTGGTAAAGGGGCCACTTAGGTGCTCCTCCATTGTACCTTCGCCGTGTAGGTCGGCCTCTAGGCAATACCAGTAGCTTGAGGTTCTACTGTATATAGGCAATGTATTTTTTTACCCGACCATCTTCAGGGCAGTCTCGGGGTGTTAGATAATATCCAAACTTATCATTCCGTTATAATCAACGAAAATTAGTAATTTTTAACAGGGAAATGCATATGGCTGTGTCACGAAAATCGGACATTACAGAATTCCCGATCCTTTTTACTGGCATGAATAAAACGCTGAACACCATTATGCACTATTTTGATTGTTCGTTTGGCTACTCGTTTCGGTTTTGTAGGCACTTACGTCTCCGCCGAGTCATACCTTACTTTGTCTGCAGGAAGTCTCGGGGATTTACGATTACACACCTCAAAAATGGACTTATTATCCAAGCGGAAAATTTTTTTCTGTAAGTTCAAAGAAAGCCCAATTCCCAAAAATAATTCTTGCCAATTAAATTATAAGTGCGTCAGAGCAAACTTTCATCTAGTGCGTAAAGTGCCTATCCATTGCTGGTAAAAGTGCGATTGGTTTTATTTTTTCCATTGCTGAAAATAACTGGTGGTCGTTCTTAAATGTATGAAACGGACAATTCAGTAAAAAGGGAGTTATTGTTTTCTAATTTATTAGCCTTATTTTATTTACTTCATTTGTGAAGCAATGGAGCTCTCAAGCACTGCAAGTGCTATAACAACCGAGTTCAGTAGTGCAAGCCTCGGTACCGTATTATCTACAATATTGTAGCTGGGCTGAGTTAGCCGATCTCTTTTTGAGGTAGACACTTGATTAAAATGTTGGACACTTTGATTTACTTAATAAATTTATGCTTGTTTGAACGTCCCGCAGATTTCGCATAGCCTCCTGCCTAGTCCACCACTGGTGGTATCGTTAGGCACACTCGATCCAGGTGAAGAACCATTCCCATTTTTTTGACCCATCATTAAATAAACATATTTCAGTGAGACTATATCTGCTATGGGCAGATAAAAAAGTACGCAATTTCCGAATGGGTGGGGATTATGCTACATCGAGTCAAAGAACCCTTAAAGAAAGACTTATTAATGCGCCTTCGAACCCACCGACTTAAGTCAGTGAGAGAATTTGAAATGCTCTTTTCTGCTTGTGCCACAGGAATTAAGGGGGAAACAGGATATCCTCTACGAAGAGCCTCGTCCAGCATTTAACGCGACCTCTCCAATCAACCTCTTTCTCTATGCAGTTCTTCTCGAAGTAGATGCTATATTTAGGAATCAAAGCTAATTTTTCAGTACGTAGTACTTCAAACAGGTGCCATCGTCACTGTGATGTGGGTTAATTGTATCCCCTTCTGGCCGACTTCGTGATGGGTTACAAGTTACAGAAAATCGTATGGCACAAGACGCAGAAGAATGATCCCAGAGAGCCGAGCTAACGCTTTGTTTGCATATATTTTCACTATGTTTTTTAAAGAAACCATCATGGCATCAATATCCAAATCTGCTGTTTTTTTTCGGTATCAAACGTAATAAAGTGAATCAAAAAAACATTCTCTAAGTTTGAAGTGCGAGAAAGTGATACCATTACTGAGGGTATTTTTCAAAGCACGATTTCAGATGTATGCTATTTATTGATGGTCTATAAAAGTTAATTTGAAAGAGGACCATTTTTGCATCCCCTCCTGATCAAAGTACCCACTTAGGACCATTAAACTGAGCCGATGGGAGCGCTTCTGGGCTATTAAGGATACGCAGAATGGTCGGAAAAGCGTGCGGATGACTAGACAAAGGGAAAAAAACTACTCTAAATGCAGTAAATATTAAAAGGCAGTAAAAGAATTGATAATTGGTTTTAAAAGGCTAACGAACCTTTGAGAGGCATTCCGTATTCCACCCGCATTCTCTCCTATAATGTACCCAAACTATTATTTATTGAAAGCATAAACAAATTCAATGCAAATTAATTATATTTGTGTGGAAAATTCTGAAGGTGAAAAGATTTATTGAGCATTGAAAATCTCTTTACAACTTTAAAGCTTAATGCACTGCCCCGAGTCTATCTTAAAAACGAAAGAAGACAAGATACTAGGGCGGTGTACAGAAGGGCTGGGGGCTACTGGCATGGCTGGAGGCCATCTCGCCCAGTGCATGGCCAATAGCCGACCACTTCAGCCCTCATATTATCAAAAAATCAAAAGTTTAATTAAAAATCAAAGTGTTACATGGCTCCTTCGCCTCTTTTGAGCGATTCCCTTGGCCAAGCTTTCGCGTCAGCCACCACAACTTTGCCGGTGCCGTAAGGAATACACTTACGAACCAACCCCGCTAGTCATTGAATTGGTGTGCAACTGAAATGATCCTTGACCGCAAAGTCACTGAATCCTCTTGGTATATCTACTGGATTAGGAGTTTGGTCCTGCTTGAGAACTATATTGGGGGAAGAAGGAATGTACAGACTGTCACGCATACCCATCGCTGGTCGAAGGTACACTGAACTAAAAAAAGAGTCCTTTAATAAGAGACGGTGCATGACATAGTTTTATGGGATAATATTTCGCGTCTGTTCTTCCTTGTCACTCTATTTTTGCTTAAGTGCTGGCCATCTACGTCTGCCTGGATTCTATCAGGCTAGTAGAAGAGTTATTGCATTTTCATTTCATTGACATCTTCATCCTGGTACCGTAGACAACTCCGTAACCAACCTTACCAGGTGGCCCACAGCCACGGCTAGTGTCACTTCAGATGTTAATATCTGTCCTGCAAAACACAAAACCTGAATTATTGCCTCAAATAAATGCCTTTCTCATTCCTTTTACTAGGGTTCGTCTCAGACTCTCCCATCCATGGCACGGGTACTTCTTCCGGATTTAGGGTGGTTGTCCTTTGTGATCGGTCTTGCTTTCCTCTGCCGAAAATGCAGCCCCTTGAGGCTTCTTTGAATACGAACGAAGGCGTAATACTAAGGCAGAATATGTAGTGCTGACGTAAGGTTAAGCTGGGTGGGATAAAGACTACTGGCATAGCCCGGAGGCCGAGCCGTTGGGCGGCAGTGCAATCGTGGAACCCTAGGAGCCTGCAAAACCAAAACGAAGAATTAAGCACGTAATCAAAGCATTACAACAAATTAACTTTCCTTCCTACTTCCCTTTTAAAACCACTTGCTGAGAATGCACGTTATGTGAACCGCACATTCATCCAGCTCTTTACCTTTTTATAGCAATGCCCCATAAGAGGAAAGATGAAAGTCTTTGTAAAAGGTATTTCTGTAAATTTGAAATTCACTGCAATGCGCCTTTGTGGAAAATCAGTTAAAAGAACGGTTCGCCTAGCAGACACCTGCGTCTTCGTTCCCTCAAACGACAATGGCCAAATTTGAGAAGCATTGAGATTGTTTTGGGGTAGACTCTCGTCTTTGTGGAGCCCACTCATGCATGGTTTTTTTCCATTAAATTTAATGTTAAACCGTGAAAAAAAGACCAAATCCTCCTCAGCCACCCACTCCATACTTTTACTCATACGTGTTTGAAAATCCTCCCCGAGGTCAACTCAAATATAATGGTGGGAACAAACGGCAGCTGGGTTTTTCATTTAAAAATTATGAAACAGTAGTTTAGTTGGGGAAAATGAAAAGTTTTGCATCAAGGTTGGGTGAAGCTAAATACAGTTTAATGAGATGCTCGTATCTTAAAACAATTCATAGAGTTTGCTGATTTCAGAATGTTCTGGTGAATTCCAAAAAACCAAAGGGTTTAAATACACAAGTTCCCTTTTAAAAACCGTCAAAACCCAACTTTTGTGCCTTCATCTACTTGCATCGACTCTTCCATCTCTAAGAGCTTCGAAGGTGGAACGAAACCCTTTGATTTGGATGCAATATTAAGGTAATCTTAGAGTTTGTCCACCAATCAGGCATTGAGGACGGCTTTAGAAATTAGGTCATGTTAGATCAATGTATGCTATGCCTTATCTTTTGAGTCAGTTCTGAACAGGTTGTGAGGTGTGGGTGTAGGAACAGATCGCCCTGTCACCGGGGATTGGAGTGATTAGACCCATTAACAGCAAAACATAATCAAGTGGTGTTCTATAGCAATGCAAGGAATAATGCTGAGACGAAATATACTCAAGGTAGGACTATAACACCCTGGTTGCTAGCTTAACTCTTTGATTTGGTTTCGCGAGCATATTAAA